TTAAAGATATGTTAAGTGCTCATGTTATACAGTTGAAAGGGATACTGATTGTTACTTTTTCCCAGATGTGGTGCTAAAGTCTGGATCAGTAAACAATTTGAAAATGACCTGTTTATGTGTGTGACACATGCCAAAAAGTAATCAGTGTTCTGACCACTTTTAAAGGATATTCTGAAGTTATATTGAATTTCAAAGTACTTATTCAGATACATGGACAAAGCTACCATTCATTTCAAACATTACAAATATTCCACTTTTTGTGAACTACTTTAGGTTTAGAACGTTTTGACAGATCATTAAACTCTTTGACAGGTTACAGGGAGATTTGTACCACATTTATTGTAGTTAAACATATATTTACCTGAAGGCTGGTTTCAGGTTTACATGTTACAAATTAAATATGATTGACTAAAAAAGACATCATTCCCCATTGCATTATGTGGGAGGTGAAATTGTTAATAATGACTAAAAATATTATGAACAATTCCTTTCATGTAGACATCTTAAGTGTTCCACAGTACTTAAGAGTGTAGGGCCCTAGGCCCTGTTGTTAAAGTTGGATAGATCAATTAAATATAATGTTGAAAGATGACACCACCTACAAATAGCCTATTGATTCAGAGGATCTACTTTGCTTGCAATTATCAAAATAATTGAGGCAAACATATTTGTTCTGCTTTAATTATTGTCTTGTAGAGGTTAAGAATTCCTTATTCACAATGCTTGGAACCAGAGGTGTTTTGGATTTGGGATTTTAAAAAAGTTTTTTAAAAAGGTACTTCCATGTACATAACGAGATAACTTGATGATGGGACCCAAGTCTAAACATGTAATTCATGTATGTTTCATATAAACCTTATAAACATAGCCTGAAAGGAATGTTTTAAACAATATTTTTATAATATTGTGCATGAAACAAAGTTTGTATACATTAAATCATCAGAAAGCAAAATGTGTTCTCTATCTTGACCACCCATGCAGTTATTTTTGGTTTTTGAAGTTCCATTTTATACAATGGCATAGTAAAAATGGTGTCACTTATGACTTAAAAAAACCAAACATTTTTCTAGCTGTTAATGATTGCATCCAGGGATACAGATTTCATGGATATGGAGATCCAACTGTAATAGCTGTATCATTGCCCTAAGTCCTTGGTTCTCAACCTGTGGGTCCCCAGATGTTTTGGCCTTCACTCCCAGAAATCCTAACAGCTGGTAAACTGACTGGGATTTCTGGGAGTTGATGGCCAAAACACCTGGAGACCCACAAGTTGGGAACCACTGCCCTAAGCAGTAGGGCACCACTATCTAGATAACCTAAAGTTGTTTCTGCCAATCTTTTTTTGTTTTTTCATTGCTCCCTCTTTCACCACAGCCATTCTGTTTCTGTGAGCCCACCCAGACAATGATGACTTCTGTTATTTTTCCTTATAAGGGGTACATCTGCAGGGGAGCAGGCAAAATGAGGGTACTGACACCCCGCTTCCATAACAATTTTGCACAAACAAATGAAATTTCTCTTCAGTCTTCAAATTTTTTACATTGGAGAAATTATTCACATTTGTTGTTGTTGTTCATTCGTTCAGTCGTCTCCGACTCTTCGTGACCTCATGGACCAGCCTACGCCAGAGCTCCCTGTCGGCCGTTACCACCCCCAGCTCCCTCAAGGTCAGTCCAGTCACTTCAAGGATGCCATCCATCCATCTTGCCCTTGGTCGGCCCCTCTTCCTTTTGCCTTCCACTTTCCCCAGCATAATTGTCTTCTCTAGGCTTTCCTGTCTCCTCATATTCACATTTAGAGTACTTTTATTAGACATGATAGCATTCCCTTACAAGCTTGGCTTTCACTCCTTTTTGATGCTTAAATTGCATTTGTAAATCAGAGGACATAGAATTAATCTACAAAATCTTGTGCTACTTTACTTCTCTCAGGTAATAGCCGGGACTCTACAAAATCCCTTTCTGTATTGATATTTCAGATTAACATGTCTATGTCTTTGTATTTGCAAATGCTCAACTGAAGTTTTAGGTTATTGTAGTGCTAGAAATGTAAAAAGTGAAATTTAATGGTGGGGGAAGAGAAACAATTTGTGGGTATAATGCCCTCATTTAACCTCTTCCCATAGCTATGCCTCTGTTCCTTACTCTTTTTTCCTCTACTACCTACCTCTACTTTCCTCCTGAACCTAAACCAGTGGGATCCAAGGTGGTCATAAAGAACAACCAACAGCATGGACAGAGTGTTGAAGCTGTTAGCAATTTATAATGTAGATTTCAAAGTATGTATGTATGTTTAAAAATGCAGTAGCTATGTGCCGAGTGTAATGTATTCCTTTGTGGAAAGAGTTAAGTGAACCATGGAGGAAACGGCATCCTAATGTATAAAACAAATGGACGCAGCATCGTGTGTCATATGTCATACATCACTCTGGTGTATGACATATGACTAGTGTGGACTAGTACTAATAATAAGGAGTTCGCAATGTTACGATCGGATGGAAAAGAAGCAAGTTTATGATGTGTGGAGTGTTAAGTAGCTTCTAATGTATATAGCTGTAAAAAATAAAGTAGTTTATAGCCTAAAGTGGGTGTGATTGATCTGTTCCTGCCTTGCTGTGCTGCCGATGCCACTGTCACAGAGTGCAAGAGGAAGATGTTGGATACCATGGGGTTGGGAGAAGCAGGCATGATGTATGGTTGCTTTGTTATCAGATTGTTTAGTTTGAATGTTGTCATCTTGCTTGGCATCTCATTGAATTAAATGCTGTCTTCAATCTACTACTAAAGAGTATTCTTTCTCACCTTAAAAGGCCAAAAATCTCCTACAAAATGTCTTACACCTTATTGTAGGGCATATATCTATATAAATAAAAATGTAATGTTCGTTTGTGGGATTAGTATAATTCAAAAACCACTGGACGAATGGACACCAAATTTGGACACAAGACACCTATCAGGCCAATGAGTGATCATCACTCATAAAAACACAGAAAAACACAGCAAAAGATACTTAAAAAGCAAAAAAAAAAACCCCATTACAACGCATGTGCATACACACACACACACACAAATATATATTTGTGCGCGCGCACACACACACATATATATATATGCACACACACATATATATGTGCACATATATGCATACACACACACACACACACACACAGCACATATACATAGACTGGGCCGCAGCAATGCGTGACAGGGAATGGCTTTTTTATATATAAAAATGTAATGTTTGTTTGTGGGATTAACAGAACTCAAAAACAGTGGGCCAATTGACACCAAATTTGGACAGCATACACCTAACAACCCAATGTATGTCCTTCACTAAAAAAATTGATTTTGTCATTTGGGAGTTGTAGTTGCTGAGATTTATAGTTCACCTACAATCAAAGAGCATTCTGAACTCCACCAATTGTGGCATTGAACCAAACGTGGCACACAGGACTCTCATGACCAACAGAAAACACTAGAAGGGTTTGGTGGGCATTCACCTTGAGTTTGGGAGTTGTAGTTCACCTGGACTCAAACAATGATGGATCTGCAACAAACTTGACACGAATAATCCATATGCCCAAATGTGAACACAGATGGAGTTTGGGGAAAATAGACCTTGACATTTGGGAGTTGTAGTAACTGGGATTTATAGTTCACGTGCAATCAAAGACCATTCTGAACCCCCCCCCCCCAATGATAGAATTGGGCCAATTCCCACACAGAACCCCCACTACCAACAGTTCACTTGTTAATATATTTCCTGTTATAAGAAATTTATAATGATTTTAAAAATTGCACACTTTTAACTGCCTATGATCTTTACCTTGTTCCAGTGTGCCTTTCCAGAATAATTGAAACTCGCAGCAATATGTTCTCAAAATGCACTTTATTATTGATTTAGGATTGATTTGCATACCCTATCCCCTCCGAGATTTCAATCCCAGTTATATCCTACCTTGCCCATGCCCAGCATTATTTTTTTTTTAAATTTACGTTTGGCCCAGCCATAGGTTTTTAATTGCTTGTTGTGTTACTGTATCGCTTATTTTATTTCTGTTTATGAGATATATTTTAACTGTTTTGTATTGTTCATTTGCTATTGCTTTATTACTGATGTATTGTGGGCTCGGCCTCATGTAAGCCACACCGAGTCCCTTGGGGAGATGGTAGCGGGGTATAAATAAAGATTATTATTATTATTATTATTATTATTATTACCTTCAGAATAGAAACTGGGATAAGCATAATTGTGTATTATTTAATGTGACCATATTATTTGTCAGACATTTTTTTCAAAGGTTTTGTAGAGAGATGGCATGTAATTGCCTGGGTTTTTATGTCAAGTGGCTTTAAACTAAAAACATTATGTTCCTGAAATAGTTATCAAAACAGCTAGGGAAAAATATGAAGAAGTGGAACGAAACCAAAAATATTTCATCTGGCTCATTCAACTATACATAGAAACATTTGGACAGGATATCCCCCCCCCCCCCCCATGGAATAATGCATGCTGATTGTTTGAAATTAAATTAGCCGAAACATGATATAAGACCAATACGTAAATTATGAGTTAACCCCAACAGGAAAAAATGCCAAAAAAGAAAAGCAAAACATTCTCTCACACTCCAACCTTTGGCATTGTTCCAAGAGTTTCCTCTACACATTACAAACTCAAATGTAGTCAGAAGAGACCAGCTGAAATCCATAGGACACATTGAAATGTAGTTAATCTTAAGGCCTATTCAAATTTTGACTGCCTGGATCTACTATATTTGGTGGTTTGGATCAAATCTCAATTTCTAGATCTCTGTTACCCAACTATAAATTAGAGTTTAGATGTTACTTTTCTGACCACATTTCTAAGAATCCCCTAGCCAACATGGCTACCCAGGGTTTTGAGAAGTTGCAATCCAGACAGCAATTTTTCTTGGGTATTTCTGAAGGATTTTGTCTTTATGAAAGAGCTTTATTATCAAGAAAACCACGGTAACAAAAATGCTCTGTGAAAAATATTTTTTATTATAAAACATACAATATACTGATCTTAATATTATATAAAACACAGTAGAAATATCAGAGTCTTGTAAAGACCAATAATTTATACATTGAGACACAGGTCACTGTTATTCTTCCAGTCTCATAGTCTGAAAACACACACACACACATATATAACAGAAAGAATGACTGAAGTTAGCCAGGGATTCCCTTGCTGTGAGGCACTTGCATTGCTATAGTAATTATTGCTAACTTGTGCTGGAACAAGATCTGGGATTTTCTTTTCTTTTTGTTTTAATTTGCAAAGTTAACAGATCTTGGAGAGTTAACAGAAGAATGGACAGAAAGTAATTAGCAATCATTAGCCATGGAGGCTTGACTATAATAATTCATGTCAGGGAATTACGGTCTTCTCAAAGTTCAGCTCTTGTATTTGAAGATGCTTGTTGCATTAAAGAATGGATATGGACAATCTGAAGCTGAGTATTTTAGGTTCCACACTTGCAAATACCATCAAAATTGGCTGGAACAAGGACAATTAATTAATTCCCTTTTCTGGATTTGCTTTCAAAAATATACATTTGCAAATTTATATTCTAATTTCCCCTTTCTCCAGTCAACATCTCACAATAGCACAAGGTGTGTGAATATGATATTTAAATATGTGAAGTGGACTTATGCTAAAAGCACTTGTTATTTGCTCCTGTTTTTCCTGAAAATTGCAGTCTTAAATCACCATATAGTACAATCTCCCTTCAGAACTTAGACTCCAATGTGGACCACCAAACTTTGTATGCTAGCCAATGAGGAGGTGTGATAAAAGTAGTGGTTAATGTTCACCTGGAAAATCACAGGCTCCCTAGACTTATCATTGTGCAGCCCCATTTTGAACTCTACCACAACGATTTGTGGCACCCAGTAACCCAGAATGGGAGCTGAAAAGTTCACTATGTGCTGCCATTGTGTCATGATGTGATTCTTTCTATAAATTACACACAAAAGGGGAGAAACTGACATAGTGATGCCATAGGAAAATGGCTTAAAGCTGACAGGGGACAATCCTGCCACAGTAAGGGATCACTAGGGCATTTCCCAGTCGTTAATTTTGGCTAGATTGATTTTTTTGTTTACACCTACAAGATTCAAAAGCAAAATTTGAATATATTAGAGGTTCACAAGCTTGTCCTGAAACACTGCTGTACTCTTGTGCTCCTGCCTTCCATCACAATTTCTGGTCTCAGATTCGAAGGAAAATGGGCAAGACAACCAATTGCATGATAGTAATAGTTCAGAGACCATTTCTGATTTATTACCTGAATAGTATTTTGATTATTTCCCAAAGATAAACTATGTCTTACCTTCATTTCTGGTACAACTGCTTATTTCCTTGGGACAACTGGTTTCATTTAGCAACTGCTTACTTGGTGGGGACTTTAGATATTTGTGTGTATTCAAGAGCAATTGTTTGAACTTCAGAATATGTGTATGTAGGTTGCTTTTGAATCACTGCCTAATATATTTTTAGCCGTGCATTTGTAGAAGCCTGCATCTCTTTGTGTAGCCTGCTGGATGATTAATGAACCCTGAGGGTGAAGGAATTTGTTTCCATACAAACGGGACTGAGCTCCTGTTGTCAGATGTGATTTGTCTGGAAGTTCCCATGTTATTTCTGCTTTAGGGATCCCAATGGCCATACAATTCAGCTTCACTGTATTTCCTGGCCTTGCATAAATGACTGGAGCTGGCTCACTTGTGATCCGGGGTGGGTAGGCTATCACAATTACTGGGACATTCATCAGAGAAGAGCCGTACTCAGTTGCCACCTTGCATAGGTACGTCCCTCGGTCAAAGACAGATGCCTCACGCACAGTAAGAGAGCCATTTTCTGACAGGGAGAATCTCCCATGAGTTTGCGGACTGTCTAACTTCATTCCATTGGGCAGAGTCCAGGTGATGCGTGCCCGCTGGCTGGGCTGTGTGATGCAGTGAAGCTGCAGGGTCTCTCCATTGATGATGCTCACCAGGTTGTTATACTGATTGCTAATTTCTGGTTTCAGTCCCACTTTGAGGAAGACCATCCTCTCCACATAGCCTCCAGGATTCCGGGCTGTGCAGCGGTAAGTCCCAGCATCCATTGCAGACAGGGCACTGATGTGCAGGATGCCATCCTTCTTGTGATAAAACCTCTGCAAATGGCTGCCCTTCTGCAGCTCAGTGCCATTGGGAAGGATCCAGGCTGTGCTGGGTTGAGGGTTCCCATGGACTGAGCAGTTCAAGTTGATGCTGTGACCTGCTGCAGCGGTGATCCTTTCTGTGGTCGGATCCCTAAAGGTAGGCTTCTCCACATGGTCCGTGACCTGAAACTGGACAATCAGTCTGGCCTCTCCCCCTTCATTCCTGCCAATGCACACCAGCTGCACTGAATCTGTCTGCCTCACACCACGAATATCTAGTGTGCCATTGCGATGAACTGTGATTCTGTTCCCATAATAGGGGGCAGGCAAGATGACCCCTTCTGGGAAAGCCCACATGACCCTTGGAGATGGGATACCCTCTGCTTTACAGTCAATTAGCTTACGGCTGTCTCTCAGAGCCATTTCTCTCACTGAAGTGATCGTGCTGGGATACCCATTGATTTTGGGAGGCTGAACATTGACATGAATCCAGACAACTTTCCGATCTTCTCCAGCACTGTTCCGGACTACACATGTATAGTTGCCACTGTCAGATCTTTGGGCTTTCTGTATGAGAAGGGTCCCATCTCTGTATATCTGGTATTTATCTGAAAGAAGTGGGATAGGCCTGTTGCTTGGAGACAGCCAGATTATTTTTGGTGTGGGCTCTCCTTTGGCTTCACATCCTACAGACACCACATCCCCATATGGTACGTTGAGCACTGTGTAGGTTTTATTCCTGATTATGGCAGGTTCAGCCACTACTTTGACTCGTACTTTCATCTCATCTTTACCTATCTGGTTCTCAGCATAGCAGGTGTAGTCACCCTCTTCTCTCAGCCCCACATCATTGAAGTACAATGTCCCATTGTTGAACACCACATATCTTTTGGTACGGATTCCACTGTCATCTGACTGCATGAAAGTGTTTATCATGCTACCATCTGGAAGACTCCAGGAGATCTCAGGGTTTGGTAGGCCTGTAGCCACACAGTCAACTTTCAGGTCTCCTCCGTAGATCACTTTGTGATTATTCTCATTCTTGTGTTCAATTTTGGCAGGTTTCATCATCACATTTACTTTGAGAATCACATAGTCATCACCAATCTTATTGCGGGCTACACACAAATAGTCTCCTGCATCTTTATCGGTGACAGAATGGACAACCAAAGTTCCATTTCCAAATACCTTGATTCTGCTGTCCAAACTAATGCAGATGGGGAAAAAAGAACAAAGCATATGCTGTAAGTTTATGTTCATAAATCATACTTTGAGCCAGAAAATAAACAAAACTAATTCTTTTCATTTCCAAGCAAAAAATTATTTCCTGAAATTAACTTGCTTTAATCCAATGATGTTTTTGTTTACTTTATACTTCTCTTCTGAAGTTCTAGATTCTATTTACAGAAATTAACACTGGAGTCAAACATGGAATAGCAATTTTTTTAAATGTTCCTGCATATACATACCACATAGCTAACTACCATGTTGTCTTATAAGTACAGACAGATGAGAAGGATATTAACAATGCATTCCATATGACAATATACACATACATTTATTAATGATGGAATGTTATTCCACAGAGAATAACAGAGCTTTAGGTATAAGCAGTCCAGATCTTTTTCTATTAAACATGGAACATATTTGTATATATTAGCCATTATCAATTTGCATTCTGTCACGCTCATAAGTGGAAATAAAACTCATGGAAGTAAATAAGACTTACTTTTGAGTAAACATGTATTGAATTGTACTGAAAGTAACATCATAATGGGACATGACATTTTAAGAGAAGAAAACAAATGTACATATCCACTAACAATATGTGCAAATATTCCCCTCCAAATGCTACCTGAAGCACAGACAGTCAAATGTAGAAGTGATTGTGTATTTGGTCTGACTATGCATTTGGTTCCCAGCTGACAGAAGTCCTCTGAGGATTCAAGATTTCCCCCCCTGTCTCTGCTTCCAAGAAATGGGAGATATCATCAACTGGACCAGGAACCTTCCGTATATCGCACACATTCTCCACCATGAACTACAGCTAAGGCTGGCCCCAGGACATTTTGGTGCCTGAATCAAAGAAAAATATGTCCCCTCCAAATCCACATAAAAATAAACAGCTTGACTGGCAACTGAATTTGGATACAAAAGGGTACCTACATTATCTTTTAAAACCCTCCTGCTTAGATAGCTCCTGCCTCTGTTCAAGCCCAGTGTTTATTTAAAAAAAATTAATTTATTACATCTGGCCCGGCCATAAGGTTTTGAATTCTACGTGTTATTGTTTATATGTGAATTATATTCATTGTATTGTTTTATTTGCTTGCCATTTTGTTTTTACTGATGTGTTGTTGGGCTTGGCCTCATGTAAGCCGCCCCGAGTCCCCTTTGGGAGATGGTGGCAGGGTATAAATAAATAAATAAATAAATAAATAATAATAATAATTATTATTATTAAACTTTATTTGTACCCCGCTAGCATCTCCCGAAGAATTCGATGCGGCTTACACAGGCCGAGGCCTCAACACACCACACAACAATACAATCTAAGCAAATCAAACAATTAAAAACAGAATAATAATAATAATAATAATAATAATAATAATAATTATTATTATTATTATTACCTTCCTGTATCCAAAGACAAAAGATCCCCTTAGCGGGTGTAGAGCATCTCCCATGACCCACAGAACTCTCCTCTAACACACTGCTGCCACTTCCTTGCATTTGCAGGCTGTGCACTGTTTCATTCCACTTAGCAGTGGAGCTGGTCCTCATTGTGAGCCATTCCTGTACTATGAAATTGATATGTTTTCATTCTCTCCTAAAGCTAGTGTAAAATATTTCAAGTTTATTCTATTGAAAAATAAGTTGATGCAGAAAGGGAAGGAGGCAAAACTGCTCATACTCTAACTTCCTCCAGTTTGGCAGAACAATGATCTTTGCATAGGTTCATCAGGGATACAAAGGATTAGAGAAATAATATAAATGCTGCAACATTGGTCCATATTTATACAGAAGTCCTGGATTTATTGCAGGCTCCAATTATGACCCTTTTATGAAATCCCATGTGATTTACTCCCAACAATATTTGTCTCATAGAATCAGATTTCAGTGATGTCACTATAGGGTGCATCTTTAAAGTGTGAACTAAAAGCCATAGTACTTCCACCAGACCAGAGGTGTCAAACTCATTTTCACATCAGCCTCAAGGTTGCTTTCAAAGGACCAGTTGTAATTGTAAGACTATAAATGTATCTATGTTGCCCATGCAGGCCACACAAAATGACATTGTCGACCGAATTTGAACTGCAGGCCTTGCATTGACATGTGTGCACCAGACTGATAACATGATAACAACATTCTATTAGTTGGACAGAAGACCTGCCCCTATGTTAATATTTTTTACAAATACTTAAACCAAGACAACACCTTGCATTTTGAACATTGCAGGAAATGGGCATGATTATGGGATCTGTACTGCCAAACACTAACAGTTCAAAATTTAGATATTCGAAGTGACAAAGGGTTACCAGAGATAAGGACATCCTTGTATTCGATTATGGTCTAAAAGGTTTAATATTCTCAAACATATGGTGTGATACCATCACACCACAAGCTTTGCCTTCTTCAGTAATGGCAGCCCTTGATGCCACTATCAAGCTCCACAGGATCTAGGGTGTGCTGAATTCACAGCATTGCAACATCATACTATATGGCAATTTCATTATATCTGAAGTTGGGACGACATCAGAATATCCCCTACATGAGGAGAACCTGTGGGTGCCGTGAGGTAGATGCAGAAGTGGAGGACTCAGAACATTTTTTCTTAAAATGTCC